GACATACATCAATAGATGGTAATATTCCTTTCACTTTCAGCTTGATTTTTGCGTTCCAAATTAGCCACAGCCTTTCACTCAAATAGCTGGGCAGCTGTAAAGTTCTTGAGTTCTCAATAATTTTGGGTAGGCAGTAGAAGTATCAAGTACTTTGGGTAGGATAATTACTTTCATTGCCACAAATCCAAACATGATTTTGAGTGCATAATTAGTAAGCTAAAAGTTTATTTTGAAAAGCATAAAAACTCTATATAAAGACCATTACCTAACAACCAAAAACCCCTGAACTTGACAATTATACTTTCACCTATCTTTCACTAATTCAGTTGGGACCCAATCAAGGCACTTGAATGACTCAACATACGACCAGCCATACAGAATTAATCATCCTTTCAAACACAATAGCATAACCCCACACAGACATTTTAACAAACATTTGGTGTGCAAAGTCGATAATCTCAAAATGAAAAAAATAAGTCAACTAAAGCAAAATGGTATCAAATCATTAATGTGTTAGAATTGTACACCTTATAATGGAGACAAAACCATCATCCCTTCTGGATTAATCCTCTGCCCTTGTTCTGTTTATCTATAGAAAGTTGGTCCCTGACATGCTTTAGACTGACTTTGTCTTGATTCCCAATCCCCATCTCATCGTGCTTTGCTGCTATAGAACTTCAAACAATCCATCGGGTGTGGACACCAATATTGAGGGAATGCTACAACTGGTGAGGAACGGGGAGACCAAGTCATGATTTTATGCAAGTTCCCTTCTCCACCGACAAAGTAGAAAAGAGTAATGCTACAAAAAAAAAAAATAAATAAATTATTAGTAACTCTTGATTATATGATCAAGAAATCGAGAAAGGAAGGAAAAGCCATTACAGCTAAAGAAAAATACCCAAAATGTAAAAAATAAATAAATAAAAATAAAAATTCCTTAAAAAAAATGTCATCTTTGTGTTAAAGAGAAGGTGCCCTGCCTTGGTGCCATCCGATTCTTCCTCCCTTCTCTCTTATCCCCATCTCCCTTTTCCCTTTCCTTCTTCCTCCTCCGATCGATCTTTCTTCAACTGGGTTTTCGACCCTGTTCTTGAATTTTTCCGATTCTTATTGGGTTTCCCTCGATTTGTCTCCATGTTGAGTGTATTCTCTTAAAGGTTTTGTCTTTTGGTTTTGATCGTGTTGGTGTTCCTTTGTGTTCTCTGATCTCCGTTGGGCTGTTCTAGTTTTTTTTGGTGGGTACAGTTCTGTTACTATGAGGAGAGGAAGAGGAGCAACCACTGCTGCAGCCGTTGCTGCAGTCGGGAATACCAAACCGGGAGTTGAACCTAATGGATCTGTGAAGGAGCCGAGATACAGAGGCGTCCGGAAGAGACCGTGGGGGAGATTCGCGGCCGAGATCAGAGACCCTTTTAAAAAGACGAGGGTGTGGTTAGGTACCTTCGATTCCGCGGAGGATGCGGCCCAGGCTTACGACGCCGCCGCCCGCAGTCTCCGTGGACCCAAGGCGAAAACTAATTTCCCTCCTAATTCTACACACTTCACATCTTTCCCTTATGAAAACCCCAATGAACAGTTCATGGACCACCGGCTGTACCCTCTCAACGAATTCCAAGATCACGAAGTGAATCCGCAGAGACCCACCAGCAGTAGCATGAGTAGCACAGTTGAGTCGTTCAGTGGTCCCAGGCCTCCACAGAAATCGACGAATATTGCTGGGGTTTCCCGGAGATACCCTCGGACTCCACCGGTGGTGCCGGAGGATTGCCACAGCGACTGCGATTCATCATCGTCCGTGGTAGATGATGGAGATATTGCCTCCTCTTCACGCCGGAAGCCGCTGCCTTTTGATCTCAATCTTCCGCCTTTGGACGATGTTGATATCACGGCGGATGACCTCCAGTGCACTGCTTTGTGCCTCTGATGATGGTGCAACAGATAAACTTCCTGATGATCAATGATTCAACCCTTTTTTTTATATTATTACGCGAAAAAAATGGAAAAAAAATTGAGATGAGATTAAGAATCTAAGATTAAGATGAAATGATCTTAATTTCATGAGTATGAAATATGATCCTTTGATTTTTAATTATCTGTTGGATTAGGGTTTATGATGTTATGAGATTTGGCTTCTCTCTCTTTTAACTACTTGTTAGTTCTCTTGTATAAAAAAATTATCTAATTCAATGCTTCAAAATTCTTCCAAATTTCACCTTTCTTGCTAATATAATCTCACCTTTCATTATTTTTCTAATTTTGCGAGCAATTTTTTTTTCATATTTTATATATTTGTTGTTGCAAAATATGAGAAATGAAGTCCTAAAAATGGGATAATTTAATTCTTATTTTGATTTATTTGATAATGTCATGGATTATTATTTGGTAAGAAATAGATTCTTTAGACTAAATTGAGCCATTTTAATCTTTAGATATACGATGTTAAGGGATAATTTCGTTCTTGGATGATAAAGAGAGGAAATTCCATTCCATTCTATTCAACCCAAAGATTGTAAAGCTTTAAGCATAATCTTTGATTGAATTGGAAGGCTTGTTGAAATCTAACCTAATTCCTTTGCATCTTACTTGTAGAATTGTGATGAGTGTACCTCCTTTCTGTAATTTTGTCTACTTTATTTATTTATTTATTTATTTTTGTTTTTTGTGTGGGGAGGAATTATTTTGACTCAGTTGAGGTGCTTCAAAGGGAGTGCCTAATTAGCTTTATTTGAAGCCAAATTTGAAGTATTGTGGCACATGGATTCTATTTTGGTTTGCGGTTATTTGATTTTTTTGCTCTATCCATGCACTTACCATTTCCCCCTTTCCATTCCTTTAGGTTAACGCATTAGATTTGCTGCCAATCCACAGCTTATGTGATCTCATGGTCATGGATTCTTTTGGAAAAAAAAAAAAAGGGATAGGCGTGAGCATGACTGTACTCCAATCTCCACTAGTCGCATTGCTTCAATAATAATTTGTTTGTACAATCTCTTGACTACGAGAACAGGTTATTCCCTCACCTGCTTGTATATCAACTGAGTTTGGAGGCCCTAAGGACTAATACAATGTCCTTGATGTACCCAAAAAAAAAAAAAAATACAATGTCCTTGCAGAACAGGCTTGCATTCGTGGGCCACCAATGGCTAAGGCAAAGTTGGCCATCCAATTAGCACATAAATCACTCCCTGGCAACAATTATTTCACATCCGGACGATGTTGATTTTCCCTTCTTTTTTTTTTTTTTATTGCGTATTTTCAGTTAGGACATTTTCAACCTAATTGTCTTGTACTTGTACTTCAAGACTATTTCATTCCGTATAATTTTAAGAATGTACCTTTACACCAACTGTATCCACTCAAAAAAATAATTAATTTACGGGACTAATCACAAGACCTCGAAATGAAACTTTCTTTCCAAAAATGCTGGTGGATGATATCCACATATCATGGGCCTGAGAATATTAAAAAGGTGAGTTGGACCCCATGCCATGCCAAGTTGCCATTGCCGACCTTTTCTCTCCAAGACCAACCTATTCAATTCGTCCATTTGAAGCGCATTAAAATTGGGCCGTTTTTCACAATCCATCTATTATCCAGTCAACCATAGAAGGCAAAGCAGGCGAAGAATGCACTACCCTAATCCTGCAATATCTATCTTTTTTA